TCGAAATTAGGTAAAGTCTCGGGATTCGAAATTCATTCGGGAGAGGAGGTCATTCAGGTCATTCAGCTGAGAAGGGGAGGAGGATCAATTGTAATAGGATTGACAAGATTTATGGAGTGGAATCAGAGGGAAATGGAGGGAGAAATCATAATAATAGGTAGTAGAAGTAATAACAGGGACTTTTCAACAGAATCATCGGAAATCGAATTGTATGATATGAGAGAAACTGGTACGGTATGTTTATTGGTATTTGGCACGGCAAGAAAAGTCGTTCATAGTCAATGAACCTACACCCCAAAAGTACACAAGCAATATTTTAGGCATCAATCGTTGGTAAATACAGTGATACTGTACAGGAGAACTGTACTTCAGAATTTGTTTTTTATTTTATTTCTATGCGGTTATGGTTTTGTAAACCTCCACCAATTCAGAAACGTGCGACTGGAAAACGGTAAGATCGAGACTACCACTTTCTAGATGAATCTAAAAATTCAAGCATTTTTTGGAACAGAAGAAGTTCAAAAAATTTGAGCATAATTATCTCAATTTCTATGAGAGATAACAAAAATCTGGCAACTGATAAAATGTTTTTCATGTTATCACCAATATTTTATCAATTGACATGTTTTTGATATCACCTATAGAAGTTGAGGTAATTGAGCTCAAAATGAAAGTATAGGGTGTCCTTCTATGAGAGCAATTACGGTAACTTTAAAAGTGGAAAACCTTCAACAATACAGAGTTCTCCTAGCTTTATACCCTCACTCTTTTTTCAATCAAGTGGCTCTTGACTGCTTGCATTAAATGATCCGAGAACGGAAGCATCGCTTCGTATACTGTCACAACTCGGAATAGTTTAATCTAGGTCATCCGTCCCAACGGGGAATCATGGTATGGGTCACGAAAAAGGAAAATGAGGATGAATGGTCATTCAGTGAATCGAAAAGTTGATTGTTTGTGGGATAATAGGAGTGAAGGATAAACATGGTTAAGCATGCTAATAGCCGAATGTTGATTTGTTGGTTTGGGATGAAAACAGAAAGTGATGGTGAAAGGTAAATGCGGAAATGTTTTGGAAAAAAACTTGTATAGTTTGTTGGGACTTAGGAATTACTAAAAAAATGTGAACTCCACATATCGTGTGATGAGAAAATATGATACTGTAATTGCAGTTTACAGTATTCCCTCTGAATGAAACCCACCCAAACCGTCACCTTTGAGCTCGATTACATCGATTCCTGTTAAAGATATCAAGAATCTGTCCATTGATAAAATATTGGTGATGTTATTTTGAACATTTTGCCAGTTGACTCTTTTTGATATCGTTAATAGGAATCAAGTTAATCGAACTCAAAGCTGACGTTTTGAGTTTGCTTCTTTAGAGTAAATAGGGTATATTTTTCTTCTATTTTTATAACTGCTTTTTTAGAATATTGGTTCTAAAAAAAGTTCTTCTAGTAGCTGGAAATCGTTATTCCAAAACAATATTCTTTGTGAAATAGTGAGTTTCTTTGAACGATTCTCCTCCTTCAAAACAAAACGTTTTTATAAAAAAGTCTTAGCCGAGATTATTCTAACTTCTGATCCTCCGATCAAAACAACAGGACGCCTTGGGATGAAAAGAAATTAATTGGTTTTCTAGTATTCTACCTCCTCCTGAATTCGGTCATGTTTACGTCATCCTCTCTCACCTAGAGCCATCTTCAGATGAGTTTTTTCACATGTCTTTTTCGAGGTCAAATGGAGTGAAATAATGAATCTTCCAGGTCAACCATTCCAAATTTGTTTTCAATGAAACTTCTGTGAGAGGAACGGGGATTGGGTTTTGGAAACTATAGAACTCCATTTTTGGCATAAACAAAGCTTTTTTCAGATGTCGACGAATCATTTCTTCGATAGCGGAATTCAATTGAAATAAAATTTTAATACTGATGCAATTTTAAATTTAGGCGCACTTGATGTTAGCAGATTTCAAAGATATTTGAACATTAGAACCATTGAGTTTTAAAGAAACCTGTAATAGAAGGGACCCCTCACTTTTAACTTCCAACCAATTCATCTCGGTTCCTGTAAAAGATACAGTGCAAAGTATAAACAAAAAAGAGAGTAGGTTCATATGTGGTAGGTTCATATGTTCTTGGAATGGGAGAGTCCCCCAAGCTGAAATCGTTGAAGGAAACGGTAAAACCTGTTATAGAAGGGCCCGCTAACTTTTAAACTGGAGCCAATTTATCTCAGGTTATGTGAAGGATATAAAAAAGTGGCCAACTGATAAATTGCTTATCATAATATCACAAACATTTCATTAGTTGAAACATTATCTTTATATCATTATAGAGCTATCCCAGCTGGTCAACTATGGTTTTCCGGAAACCAGTTTCTCTAATTGTTTCTGTAAAACATATAATATTCATATTTGCTTCTGGAAATTTTGCAAATATTTAACGAAACTCCTCAAAACTTAAAAGGGAATGGAATCGGTACGAAGTAATTTTACAAGCTCCAATTACCGTAAAACCAGTAATAGAAGGGTCTCTAATCGGTTTCTTTAATTTTTTATTTCCATTCCTGTAAGATATATCAAAAAAATTCAATAGGCGAAATATTTATAATATTATGAAAAACATTTTGTTAGTTGACTATTTTTCTATACGTTCCCCTATAAACCATGAAAACTGGCCCCAAGAGGGCAGTATTATTGAGTTCAAAGTAAACGTTCTTACCTGGACAAGTAAAAACTAGAAAGACATTGAATGTCTCGCGGGAACTTCATTCTTTGCCTCATAGACCGTTCCCCTTAATTTCAGATTTCCAGTATTCTAACTGTTTCCCAATTGGTACTCTCATCATTCGCCCAACCACCACTTCTTCCCAACGGCCCATTTCCATTTTCCACTCTCCTATCCCCATTTTCAAAAGTACACACTTTCCTTTTCCGCAAAATTTCTCTTCGTCTTCCTCTTCCCATCGGGACGTAATGTTGTATAGCCCTGAGAGCCCCACCCCAATTTTTCCCTCTCTTTCGTTTTGCTCTGTCCGTCGTGTTCCCTCTTTCCGAGTGCACAACCCCCTCAAATACAACCAAAAGCACAAAATATACATAGAACCTGAAAAATAGCATATGAATCAGAGAGACAACAGACAAAAATGGTAGTAGCGGTTGGGATGGACGAGAAGAAGAAGTATTGGAAACGAAGGGAAAACGAGGAGGAGACGGAACGCCTAGATATAATATAATAGATTGGTGATGAGAGAGTATGGAAACCCAAAGATACGCAGAGAAAAATAAAGAGCGATGTTTGAAACATTCGTGATTACTGAAAAGAAGATGAAAAGATTTAGACAGCTAGTTGAACGGCTCATCAAGAGTTGCTAATGAGAAGCGCTTATAAGGAAAAAGGGAAGTTAGAAGCAAGCTACCTACAATTTCAAATGCATCATTAGTGAAGAACAACAGAAAACTATAAGTCACAGGATTCGAAAATGCCGAAGTGAAAAACAATGATTCTGTGTATGTCAAGCCTATAATTAACCTGGACTGCGTGACTTTGAATCATATTTAGAGTCGAGAAGCATAGAATGTATAGTTTGTTGTCTCAAGTTTTGATTCTACAAGTAGCGTGATAAACATGGTTTAGCATATTTTAGAAAACCCGATAGTAGAGCAAGCAAGTTCAAAAAATCTGGAACGCTTCAAAACTAGAAAGCTGTATCCGAACACCGTGAACACTCTAATAGAGTGCTCCCTCACCAACTATGAGCCTATTTATCTCGGTTCCAGTAAGGTATATCAAAAGGCGGTAAACTAGCAAAATACTTTTGCTATTATGGTCAACGTTTTGTCAGTTGATCACTTTTTCATATCTTTCAGAGGAACCAAGATAAATTGGCTCAAAGTTGTTGGTGAGGGATTATTCCTTTAGAGTGTTTACGGTAACTAGAAAACTCAAGAGGAGTTCCATTTGTCGAAATAAAGGTTAGCATGTGATTCCTGAAAGTATTCAAGATGTAGATAAAATTTCTTTTGGATCATTGAAAACTAGAACTCCTAGTTATATGTAACAACACAGTAAGGAAAGTTTCAGTTATTGCTTCACAAGAATATAACACATCGTAGATACTCTAATAGCAGGTCTATACTAGCACTTTCAGCTCACATTATCTGAATTTCTATAAGAGATGGCAAAAATAAATCAACTAATAAAATGTTTGTCATAATATATTTAACATTTTATCAATTGACACATTTCTGGTATCTTGCATAGGAATTGAGATAATTGAGCTCAAACTTGGCACTGTGGGCAGGACCAATTTTGTTATGATTTGCGTAGTTTATGTAAACTGCTTGGAGTGTATCAAATAAACAAAATTGAGAACTAAATATTCTATCTATACATCAAAAAGTTCTACCGGTCAAAAAGTATATTGTCCAGTTGAACTAGAAAGATTGAAATTTTGCTATTTTGCGACGGTGTTCTCTTTTAAATATTTCGCTCTGCAGTATACTTTCATAAACTGAACTGTTTTCTAATTGTCCCAATTTAATTTTCTCATTGTACAGCTGATAATTAACGCCCCCAATGTTCCTTTTTTTCCGTTCCGCGTTGTGAAGCAAGACCCGCGCGCAAATCAAATTTATGTTTGTTTCCGCACGGATACTCAGCCGCTTAATTGCTGCTGTCTCTCCGCATCCCGCGTATTCCTTTTTCTGGATGGGGTAATTGTTACAAATTTTGAAAAGAGAAGACCTTGGGATTACTGTAATAGCCGAAACAAAAGAAAACGGATGTTACTGTAATTGAATGTTTTTATTTATTTTTGAATGATTTGTACTGTACAATTGAAAGAAACAGTGGTTGGAAGTGTTTTAGGAACACTCCATAAAAAGTGATGAGGTAGATAATCGGTAAATTTCGAAAATGGAAGGCATTTTGGTGTTTGTGTGGACTGTTATGAGATTCTGTACTGGTTCAGAGATTCAATTGGAAGACGTTGTACGTTTACTTCTGGAAAATGGAGAAAGTGAGAAATATGTCAGGTTAATCTATTAGAATATTCTCGCAAGAAGTCTACTTACCTTCTTTGGGGCGGCCTTCTTGGCTGGAGATTTCTTGGCGGCGACCTTCTTTGCTGGCTTCTTAGCGGCCTTCTTTGGAGTAGCAGCCTTCTTTGGACTGGCAGCCTGAAGCTTAAAAATGAATGATTACCTTCTTAGGACTAAAAGAGGTTTGTTACTTACCTTCTTGACCTTTGGGGCCTTTGGTTTCACGACCTTCTTGGTCTTGGCGACAGTTTTGGCTTTAGCAGCAGCTGGCATTTTTGGAAGAGAAGAGGGAGGAGTGAGTTAGGAATCAAAAATTTGAATTGACTGCGTAGGAGAAGAAATCCTTGGGCTTAACGGTTAGCCTGCCTAGTTTCAGGCCCCGCCCACTCTTGGCACAGTGCCAATCGTACGCTCCGCCCCCCTACGGTCTTGAAGGAAGTCAGCTGACTGAAGACTCTCTGTGAAGTGAGTGAGCACTTTGAATAGAGAGAGCTCCGAGAAAAAGAGACAATCTTGTCCCGATTCTCTTGGTTTCCCATCATATTTCTCGTCGTTCGGTTCTTATGAGCGCGTGATCTTCCTCCGTCTCTTTTCTTCTTTCTCTCATTTTGTCCATGGCTGACTGCGGCTAGAAATTATGCGAGAAGCGGTGGAGATGGGTGTGGGCGGGGATGAAGAGAAGGACTGCTGGGGCCATAGTGACTGCCTGGTGTGAATACGATATTCTAAAGGAAAAATGGGAGAAGGAAAAAGGAGTCTCTCTTTCGGTCTCTACAATTTGAAAAGGTGTGTGTTTGTTTGTGTATGTATATTCACAGAGAGTGTGTGTGTCTATGTATACATAATGGATCTTCCACCACGACCACCACCAGCAGAAGGTGCAAGACAAAGAAGCATAAGAGGGAGACACATGGTTGGATGGGTTATTGGTTAAAATGTAATAAGAGGAGGAGGAAGAGAAGAAGGTTATGGAGATATGTACTTAGGAAGACAATAAGGGTGAGAGAGCTTCACTGGAAAATCGCTCTGAATCAAAAGATCCTGACCCGGTTTGCAAATAAAGAATATGGATGTTTGAAAATTCGCAAAAGCTGTTTAGGAAGAAGATGAACAGCCACTGCCATTTTCAAGGCGATTGCTCATTGAATAAGAGTTTTTGAAGATTAAATTTTCAGTAGGCTGGTATGCTGCCAAGGTCCAACACAAAGTTTAAATTTATTCTCAAGAGATATTTAACAGCAAGCGTTACATATTTATATTAAGGCCCAGTATGTCATTTTTCTCAGAGTACAACTGAAATAACTGAAGTTTATACTTTACGGTGTACTGTTGCTAGATGCAGTCGACGGGGCATCAGACGGGGCGGTAGACGAAGAACTAGCTGCAACTGAAAATCAAAACTAGATATTATATAAACTGCTCAATGTGTGACGTGCCTGAACTCGAAACAATTGGGATTGCCGAACTAGAAGGAGAAGGGCCACCGCTTACTAAAAAAGGTTAATTAGTACCCATCAAACCATCGAACTTTCATACCAGTTGTATCACTAGAATCAGGAGTGACAGTGGAGACAGGTGCTACTGAAGATCCAGGAGCTGCCGAGGATGATCCAATTGGAGCAGCGGTAGATGTGAGGAGAGCTGTGGTTGTGGATGGAGCAGCTGTGGTGGGACAAACGGTTGGACCAGTTGGAGCAACAGGGGCTGAAAAACTGCGTTTTACCTTCACGTAGCACTAATTAGATCACCGGTTTGTTATAAAAAAGAAATTTTAAATAAAGTATGGTCCACTGTTTTTAAAACCACTCACGAGACCATCCAGGTGAAGGCTGTGTGCATTTTTGATCAGTTCCGTTCACTTCCGCCCCAGGAGAGCATGCACACGAGTAGCACGAATCAGAACATATGTTTCTGGAAATTCATGTGTAATTACTATACTCATTTTTTTGTAGTTTTACTTATAGCATTGTCCATATGGAGGGCCACTGTTTTCCCCACAAACACGCTTCTGCTTTGATTGGCATGGATGAGCAAGTGTAACTGAAAATGCTATTGTATCATATCTTTTAACATTAACAAGTACATACCTTCACAAAAGTCTCCAGTGAACTGGCACTTTTTGCATTCGCAATACTGAACACCAGATTGACTGACTTTACATTCTCCGTTCGATCCAGTGCAATTGAGTAGACAGTTGTTAACTAGAAATAAAGATGTTGCTTTAATCCAAATCTGTTAGCTAAATACCTTCCTGATAGGTAAAGTTGAATTGAACAGTTGAGCGTGGTCCCGAGAAGTAGTACACATCAACTTCTTGGAAACCTTGGAAAACGTAGTTGGTGATTGACCCGTTAATGCTGAAAAGGATGATTAGAATAATACACTTCGGACACTCTAATGGAGTACCATCAACTTTGAGCCAGTTTATCTCGGTGTCTGTGAAAAATAGCAAATAGTTGTCAACTGGACAAATACTTTTGACATTATGGCGAACGTTTTGTCAGTTGATCACGTTTTGATATATTTTACAGGAACCGTGATAAATTGGGTCAAAGTTGATGGCGAGAGGTGATGATAAGGTTCACTGTTTACGATATGAAATTTGACTCACGTAGCACTTTGAAGAGTTCTAGTCTCGTTCAACTTCACATAGGCATCGGGTCCAGTGAATGTTGCATTGATTGTCACCGACACGTTGTTCGCTTGGTTTGAAGCCAATACTTTGATTGAGCATAGAGCAACGTTCTAGAAATGAAATAAAGTTTCTGGTTACAAGAGCATCGTTACAAACCGGCTTGCTCGCAAATGTGTATGATTTAGTTATCGAGAAATCCGAATCAGTTTTTAAGTTTGTGTTATTACATGGCTTGACAGCTAAAAAAACAATAGTTTATCGAGCATACCGAAAAACCTGTATTAGAGAGGCCTGCCATTTATTTTTAAAGGCTTCTCTCGGAGGTAGAAGGACCTCTCCGATAGAAGGCCTCTTCTATCAAAGCGGCTTTCCTAATACAGGTTTTACGGGAGACTTTACTCACGTTGAGTTGGACCTGGAGAAGTTGGCTCGGGAGTTGTTGGCACATCCTGAAACAGTCTCAGATGGAAATATGAGTATCACTAGTAGATAATGTAAACGGAATTTGGAACTTGAATTATTAAAGTCAAGAAAACTTCGCAGCAGAAGCTGAATTATTCTAACTTCAGATTATTCTAACTTCCGATTTAATCAAATCTGATTTCGAAATCTAAACCCACAACATTTGCAAGTCTTTCAAAAACTTACAGTAACACAACTAGACTGAGAGAAGCAAACGAAAGTGCTGGCGGCAGAGGAGACACGTTGATCTAGTGCAAATTGAGATGCACTGAGATTCTGGAAGAGTTCTTGATGAATTACAGTATTTCGAGAATGTATACACCTGTAATTGTGAGATGTATCCTTGAAGAGTTTTATTCTGAGCGGTAATGTTATGTGAGAAAGCATTCAATTGATCGAAAAGAGGAGATTTGGCTGGATCGGTATCGTTTTGAGCCTTGATCAAGTAGTCGTTCAAACTGAAATAACCTAATGAAATTTGTTCGTTGAATCAGCATAAATTACGCATTGATTTGTTGATCCAATTGTACAGCTTGTTGAAGGATCAGCTTCGCATCTAATACATTCACATCATTGGAAACGGGGAATGTCGAGAGTTCCAGAGGTTTTGGTGTAGTAGTTGGAACTTAATTTTATAAAGTTTTGCATCTTCTGGAGAATCAGTTCTCTATTTTTACCTCCAGTTGGGGTCCCAGTGTTTCCACTATCTGTTACCGTACTTCCAGTTCCAGCAGGAGCGGTGGATCCCGTTCCTGGAGGAGCCGTTGACCCCGTTCCCGCAGGAATAGTTGATCCGGTTCCTGCAGGAACCGTTGATCCAGGAACGGTTGCAGCAGAGGTTTCAGGAGAAGCTGCAGGAGAGGTTGCAGCTGCTGGTGTGGTATCTGTAAGTATTATTTTTGAAATTCTAGAAATTTGAAAAAAACATGTTATTCATTGGAAATAACTTCTGATAACCTGCTTCCTCTTCAGTTAATTCCATTGACATCATGAATGACGTCATTGACTCATTCCGCTGTACATTTTTCTATTTCCATTCCAATTATCTTTTTTACAGTTTCCCTCCACCAATCAGCAAACAGAACATATTGGAATTCAAAGAAAGAGGGGGAAATAGTTTATAGAGTTTGATTATTTTTCGAAACAGGTCGGAAGTTCAAAGGGAACCGGAAAAAATATTTAGCCACTGTAGCCTATAAATACCGTATTTCCTCTAATAGAAGCCCATGGGCTTCTATTTTTCAACCTCTCTCTCAGGGTGGGCTTCTATTAGAGGTGGGCTTCTATTTTTCAATGATTAATTTTCAAAAAAATTTTGTTCAAAAAATCAGAAATTTGGCAATTCGGAAGTTAAGAATTCTGAGCTTCGAGATTTTTTTTAATTCGAAGTATTCATTCTGCAATTCTAAACTCCAAAATTCGGAATTTATGAAATTCTGAGTTTCCAGAATCTCAAAATTCAAAATTACGGAATTCTGTAGATCAGAAATTGAGAAACTTTCAAGTTCTAAAACACCAGTTCCAAAAATTCTGAAATTTTTAATCGCCGTATTTCCTCTGATAGACGCCCATGGGCTTCTATTAGAGGGTGGGCTTCTATTTTTCGAAGCACCTCGCGGGGGGCTTCTATTAGAGGTTGGCTTCAAATAGCGGTGGGCTTCTATTAGAGGAAATACGGTAGTTAAGAAATTTATCCAGAAACTACAAAAATATAGAACATTGATTTGAGACAATTACTATCGAAATTCAAACTCACCAACTGGTGCTACTGTTGGGACGGCGCTGTCTGAAAACATTGCATTGATCATTGTTTAAAGATAAATTCATTGTGTTTCAAAAAGCAAGTGACTAAACCGAACCATATTCTTTTAAGAAAATTAAAAGCTGAATATACATAGCTGAAATTCAAACAAATAAGTTTTTTATTGTAATACTACAAAGCACTTACCGTAATACCTGTATGGAAGGACCCTCTAACACACTGTAAACTTTGAGCTGATTTTTCTTGGCTTCTATGCAAGATATCAAAAATGTGTTAACTGAGAGAACAATTCTGGTAGGATGTTTAAAAATTTATCTGTTGATAATCTTTTTATCTTTGACATGGTCCGAGAAAAATTCCCTCAAAGCTAAAAGTAACGGTTCTCTTTTATTACAGTAACTACAGTAATTTTTAAAGTCGCTAAATTTTATGGGCAATAATCGATTTTGAGAACGAGCTCATGCTTGCCTTACCCATAGATTCTAATAAAGTTATTAAATTTTGGGCCCAAAATATAAATCCAGCGAAAACAATTTTAATTTGCCTTGGTACTATCTTCTTCAAACTATTTTCTGAAATTTCATGAAGCCTACATTATTTTGGAACTAATTTTTTAGCCAACTACCGTTCAGATGACATCACATCTTCATTACCGTTTCTTTCCTATTTTCCCCTTTATCATCAAAGTACAATACTCATAACTCATAGCGAAAGAGAAGGCATTTCAGCCCTCTTAACTCTTATCAGTCCATAAAAAGCTACCAATCAGTGATGATCGAAATGATTTATTGCAGGAGCAACGCCGCCGGATGAGCGGGCAAAAGCGAACAAGGACAACGCCCACTTTTGAAATATTTAAAGAATTTTCAGAGACAAATTTTTTGGGATCCGAATCCCGATTCATAGATAGAAGAACAAGTGCGGAAAATTGATAAGCAGTTACAGTAACCCTCAATGAGACAAACACATTCCGAAGATATTATTCTGGAAAAAGAACATCCCACAATAAAGAACATCCCACAACAAATCTTGTTTGGGTAATAATCCTATTACTCTTCTAGTTGAACTTATGTACATGCAAAAGTTTTTTTGGGGTTCGTCGACTCTCGAAAATCGAAAATTCTTGGAGCACTTTTTTCTGGGCCGGGAATTTGACAATGCTCTATTGAAAGCATTTCTAGATTTTTGTCCTATTCTGTATCATTTTACGATTTTTAGTCATTTATTGAATCTCAGTTCCAAAATCTTTAATTTCAGCTTATCTGAACTCACTAGAAGAATCACCTGCTCCTATAACATAGTTCGTAGAAACCAGCAGTACAAGTACCGCCGTGAGAAGTTTCATCTGAAAATACATGGAAAATTAAAACCTAGAAGAAAAGAATGCGAGTAATAAAAAGGACGCCAAAAAGGGGGTAATAAATCAAACAGAGAGGAGCTGAAAAGGTAGGCGACTCCCCGTCAATTCTTCTTCTTCTTCTTCTTCACTTTTTATCACAATCTGATTTATTATTTTGATAAGAAAAGACTCTCTTTCTCCCCATTCTAACTCCACCTTTAAGTCCCTCAAATTTCAACTGTTGCCTTCCGTCGTTTTTGCTGCTCCTTCTTCTTCTTATGACGGGAATGGAGGAAGAATTAAGGGACAATTATATGTATCGTGTTTGATCTGGAAAAAGTTATGGGTTGACAACAGTTCATTTAAAATAGAACAGCAGTAAAATGAGGTGTAAGATTTCAAAGATTCATTCTTTCTTATAGTGAATTAACTTTTTTTTAATTTAAGAGAGGGAGGCGCACAATAACCCGGACTGATGAAAACGGGTATATCTTTAGACATAAATCTATTGGGAGCACGAAAATTGGTAGAAATATAATTATACTTTTGATTCAAAACTACTGAAATTGTCAAAAAACTTCCTCAAGGTTGGGTATTGTTATGATTGTCCGAAGATGAAATTTTCCCGACGTTGTGGTTTTCATGAGATGAAGCAACTTTGACAAGCGATAACGCAGCTCAGAGTGGATCAAATCAATTGTAATTTAGTCAGTTTGCGGATGAATTATTTAATTATTTGCACTCCCAATGTGAGCACAATACAACGCTTAACTCAAATTTTATGCTTGCACAAAATTTAGTCAGGGAATCATGCGCCACCCTGCTCAATTAGATTTCAATATAATGTATCTATTTTTGATAGATGCTACTTTTCAAACAGAAAAAAAGCAAAAGTTTGCAATATTTATTTCTCAATATAAACATAAACAGTATCATAATAATTATCTCTGTATGTTCCTGCATCGAGTAGCTTCACTTTTGGAATAACCATCATATTCTTCTTCTTATTGTAATTGGTGGTTGGTCCAACCTTTTTCTTGGTCTGTAAACTTCCAGATTTTCCAAATAAAAAAGCTTTTGTGTTTACTTTTATATTCTCCCAAAATCCGCACTTTGCCTTGTTGTTTCCATTACAGATTCTATAAACTTGATGTTGTTCAACTCCTTTTGCATTCTTCACAAATCTCTCAAGTTTCTTTGGGCTGTAATATTCGATTTCCAGCCGATCTCCAACCTGAAAATACAGTTTTTAAATAGGAAAATAAGTTTTTACTTATCTTGAGAAACATATTTCTCATTGGCATCGAACTGCAATCAACAACATGGGAAAATGCAAAAAGCACCAGTATTAGAAATGTTAACTTTAACATCACAATACCTAGAATTCTGACAGTTTTATCGTATTCACACTGTTTTAATAGGATACTGAATGCGGAACAAAAATTAATAAACGATTAAAAGTTGTCAAAAAGTTTAATCCCCAATGCAAACTGCATTTATTCACAGAGTTGTCAATTTTTGGGGTATTAGGACTAGACCTGTTAATACTGGTGGTCATTTTTCAAATAAATTTTAAAAACTGTGTAGTTGCAGAAGATCACAACGAGAATAAACAATTAGAGACTTCCCTGTTTTATAAATATTTAGAGAAAACGAATGAGATGTTAACAATCTGTCAACTGATAAAATGTAGGTGATATTATGATGAAAATAACATTTTTTGATGTTTTCTGAAGGATCCGTAATAAAGTGAGCTCAAATGGAACGTACAGGGTTGGCTTCTATTTTAGCAAATACGGTATTCGTATAAACGAACGTTCCAAAGAGTTGATGCGAAAATAAAATGTCTAATGGTATAAAAACCTTTTTCCTGATGATCTCCAACCTACATAAAACAAGCTTCTTCCTGACTTCGTTTTGCAGTTATTCCAAAAGGTTTAAAAAATCTATCGTACTCTTTGAATTTTCAATTGATCAAAACAAGAGAACTTAGTAACATGAATTGGAATGTCTTGAAAACATTGAAATATATGTGTGTCCAAATATTCTCAATCCGATTTGTTTCAGTATGTGAAAAATCTGCGGCCGCTTATATTGTTTCTTGTGGTTTTCTCTATAAAAATTGTTGTATTTAAATTCGACAGATTTAATTTATCATAAAAGATATTAGGTTTTTCCTACTTAGCTACTTTGCACCAAGTTGGACAGGGTTCTGATTTAGGGCTCTTACTATTAGTTTTCAGCTTTCTTGATTAAGTGAACAAGATGACCCAGAAGCTGAGTGAAGAATAATTTTAACAACAATTTCAACATTTTATTCCAATTCACATAACATATAATTGAACGCTATCTCCACTGGTAGCCGAATAAGTTTCAGCATCGAGCAGTCTCACTTTTGGAATAATCAACAAACTCTTCTTTATGTTAAAAATAGTGGCTGGTCCTACCTTCTGCTTATTCTGAAAAAATTTTGATATAATCCAGACATTTTGAGAGAGAAATCTCACTTTCTTATTCTCCCAAAATCCACATTTCGACTTATTCTTCCCATTGCAGACTCTGAAAACGTGCGTCTGTAAGACGTCTTTAGCGTTGTACACCATTATAGTGAAAATCGTTATATTCCCATAAAATTCCATTTCCAGACGTTCTCCTGGCTAAAAACGATTTTTTTATTTTAATGATTTGAATCCTTAAAAAACAAACCTTAACTGACATCATTCGTTGTGACACACTACAGAAAGCGACTGAAATCAATCCCAAGAGAATGATTATAGACGATTTCCGAATCATTATTATTTCAATATTTTTTGGAAGTTTCAGTAAGTTTTTAAACATGGTTCAGTGGCGGAAGCAAAATAAAGTGTGTCGCAAATCGTAGTCATTTTGGATTTTAATCCCATTGTCTACTAACTCTGAACCAGGTGAATTTTTATGATTTGAGTTTAATAAATCATTCATAGGAAAGCAACAAGGAATTCAACGGAAGAAAACAAGAGAAACGGGTGAATAATTGACAACAACTGGAAACAATGAGATTAACGAATACAAGAGAAACGGAGCTATGCAAGAGATTCAATCCACGAGTCGAATGTTGGAGACAGCCGCTACCACTTCATTATGACTTCCCAGATCCTTGCGGACTGTGTTCATCAGTTTCTGTGGGACCACTGCCTTCAGACTGTTCTTTGGTGCCTTCAATCCTACGACGACCTCATTGACATCTTCACATGAGAGAACTGTGTAAAGGGTTGGGAAGTATTCAGCGATGTCCTTCTTGATTGATTTTCCAAGTTCAGAATCACGAGTGACCAAATTCAAACTGAGCATTCCTTGTTCTTTCAGCGAATTCTTCATATTGGAGAGCGCTTCTGGAGTCAAGAATGCTGGTGGTGGACATTGAAGAGCTGCATTCTGAGTTCCTGAGACATCAACGAAGATCACATCGTATTTCTCTTCTGAAAAAAATTAAGTGAAATATTTTCAAACCACGGGAAATACCTTCTGGCTTTCCTGCAACCTCTTGAAGGTGTACCAGAGCATCTTGAATAATAACTTGAACTCGTGCATCCGAGTGTGGGAACGAGAAATGAGAGTTGGCGATTTTCGAAACTTCTGGGTCAAGTTCCACTGCTGTTACTCTTGCTTTTTTAAAGTTCCTGAGGAGATAGGCAGCCAGAAGACCACCTCCCAATCCCAAAACGGCCATTCTACATCGGGTGTCAATCTTGGCAAGTGGTTGAAGATGATTGAGCGCTAGAGATCCAATCATCATTCTATGGAAATCACAAGCCAACTGATCCAGGTCTATTACTGTTTGCTTCTTCTTTGAAATTTTCAAGTAGGCTTCCGATTGGATAAGATTCATTGTGTTTAGGAATACGAGTCGTCTACATTGCCTTTCATCCACTGTCACTTCCTCAACACTCCACCCTCCATTGATTTCAGATCGTCCTGAAGAAATCGTTCGTTTCACATCGACTCCACCAACCGACAGGATTTCGTACTAAAAATATAATTTTCTTTTGATTTTCTGATATAACAAAATATTTACATTTCCGGTGTCACTATTTCTCGCATCCAGCATTCCAACAAAGTGTCCAATGTCTGATTTAACCTCGTCCATTTCTTTCTCGTAATGCTGATTTCTATTCAGGAAGACAATGACAAGACGATCACGGCCACATTGAGAACTCAGAGCTTTTCGACCTTTCGGAGAGGCAAACAACCATTCGGCGTCTCTGAAACAACTTTCTCTTTAGAGGATGTTGATAATAATTATTCAAACCTTCCGATGGGAACCACAAATGCAGCGAATGATTCGATCTTTGTTTTTTCTGGTCTATCCACTACACAAATACGGTATCGTGGTCCCAACGCCGGATCCTCTCCATGGAAATCGATTGACACCTCGACGTCGAGCTTTCTGAATTGTGATGTTTAGAAACACAAGAATTCCAATTCTAAACTCACTTGGAGCAAAGATAGATGAACTGTGAGAGCTCCTGTTCTGCTTTGATGGCATCCTTCAAGTCGTCAGTATCTCCGATACGGTCTGTACGAATCGCACTGGATCGGAGAACTTCTAAAGGCAATGGATTCGGCATCGGGGCACGCATCTTAGTGGCGATGAAACAGAACACTGGCATTGGGAATCCGGAAGCCTTATTCTCAATTTTTTGTACTCGGAGGATGTACTGCTTTCTAAAAGAAATTGAAATTAGAGAAAATTTTAAATTCGAAATTATTACAAAGGAAAGAAGTGATCAATCCAGAACTCGGTGATGTGTGGTTGTGCAAGAGTGACAATCATATATCTTCCACCAGAAGCAAGAACTCTGTGAACCTCATCAAACATCTTGGTGACAGTTGCTTTGTCGGCTTCCGATGCAGATGGAGGGAGAAGAGCGTCAAGGGTTCCCTTATCGATGACAACAGTGTGAGATCCATCAGCCATGGTTAACTGGAAGTAGTTTATTTCATTGCCTAATTTCTAGTTTTCAACTTACATTTGCAGCGTCTCCAGTGCTGAACAACATTCCCGGTCTCTCTTTGTTTTTGCGAATCTGATCGGCAATAACCGATGGCTCCACATCAATACTGTGAATGTTGTGGAATCCATTGTCGTAGAGTTGTGTGGCCAATTCAGAATTACCACATCCCAATTGCAAAAAGCTATCACTAGGTTTCAGATACTTGTCGATTACTTTTGATAGCGAGTTGTAGTCTCCGTACCTTTAAACAATTAGTTGAGCTGATAAAGAAACTCAATTTCAGCTTGTATACCATTCGAATGGCGATTTCCGTTTGGCAAAGAAGTTCTTCCAGTATGCTGGATCCGTGAATGATTGTGGCTCGTTTGGAGCAGACATAACCTTAAAAGCGAAGAATTTCGTGAATTATTAGAAAAAAGGAAGCAAAATAACAAACAGGACAAATTTTTAACCGAACATACAACAAAGCTATAAGAAAAACGCATGACTAGTTAAACCAAATATTCATTATTAATGTAAATGGTAGAGGAAAAACGAAATGGTGTCACATTGCATTGAAACTGATAAATTGAACGATTTTTGGTGATTTTATGAAAAACCTGAAAATCCACAACCGGGTGACTTTTAAGAAAAACAGGGCAAAAAATGTAAATATGACTAGGCGAAAGAAAAGATTATGTTGTATTGGAACTCGAGTATTTTGCTTATTCGAGGGGGGTTTTAATCACAGGAAAGGCACGTGGAGAAAAGCTATAAAGACAAGAATTATATACAGGTTTCTGTTAAGGAAAAACAGATTGTTTAAAAGAAAAATGTCAAATGTCGTCGTCGCTCATCTCATCTAGAAGACCTGACATTGCTACTGTTCCATTGTTAAGCTGAAATATAGAAAATTATTATTTCGAAAGCCTTTCTCGATAAGCTTACACTTCCCAGAGCACCTCCTCCGGCTTGAGGCCTCCTTGCTCCTCGTTCCAAATCAAGATTAGCTCGTAATCCATCTCCTTCATCGTCATCCTCATCATCATTCAATTCGAATCCTTCATTTATTCTGTTACTCAACGGTCGATATCCTTGTACGTTGTCTGATCGCCCCCAATTTGGATCTGATTTCATCACAGTGTTCTTACATCCATAGGCAAAGAATGCGACAACAATGCACATTGATGGAATAAGAATCAGAGAGAAGCTCCAGGAATCCTGTATGACAAAAACGAATATTATATCAATATTTATTATGACACTTTACTTACAGTTATCTGATTGAACACAAATCCATGCGTCATCGGCATGTATCGATTCTCTTTCAACGCTCGTTTGACAATTTCCATTGTTCCATTGTTTTCAGTCGGAGTGATTCCGAGTACATGACACATCAAATTGTACAAGTCTACGTTTGATGGAATATCAGCAATCTGGAAAAGTTTTCAAGATTTTTTCTTATAAAAATAGAAGAAGTGCTTCTAAAGGACACTAACCGTAAAATTTTCAGAAAATTCTGGGCCTCTCATCATTAAAAACGCTCTCATTTCGGGCCGATCTGGATCTTGTCCATGTGTGGATGAGTTGAATTTTGTCGTTCCATTCTCACCATACTGCCTGAAAAATTCATTTATTCGTGACATCTTTCTATATAAAATGCTCACTTTTCCATCTGCTCCATCGTACAGGAAAACGAGATGGCAGATCCGATTTTAGGCTCGAAGACGATTTTACCAATTCGTGAATTATTCTTGTAATGCCATCTCTCTGGCACGTCTTCTTTCCAGTGAATATTCACATCGTAGCCGTGTTGTTTGACAGCTTCTGTCAAATTTGCATAGATCTGTTTGCCGATTTCCTCGGAGTGTGGATAGATCATATGGTCGCCCATTTCGAATCCAGCACCGCTCACGAAGTTCTTGACACACATCACATGCTTATGGTCTTGGATTTCAGCATGACCATGATCCGCCGTCAGAATAATATTTACATCGGATCCTAGGTTATTATCGTCAAACTTCTCGATGAAGTACAGGAACAAATCGTCTAATTGCTTCAATGTTTTCTCAATTTCTTTATTATGGAATCCATTCCCATGAAGTGTGTGATCTGGCTCTGCAACATACCAAGCGAGGAAGTTGACTGGTTCCTTCTCACGTGTGAAGGCATCAATCACATCGTCAGCATCTTGCATCCACGATTTGAGATCTCCAACAATAGTCCAAGGTCTAAAGTTAGAATTATTAATATGGATAAACTTTTAGGAAGCTCACTTAGCCACTTTCGGCTTATGAGGAAGATAAGGAAATGACGATTCTCCATTTGGCCAATAGAATGAAGCAGATCTTCTGGAGGACTCCCATCGCTCATTCGTCAACCAAATTGGGTCAGCATTGTACCAGAAATCAGCTTGAGACGCGTTCACAGCTCCTTCTTTTCCTGTTGAGTTGAAGTAATCGAACCTTTAATAAGAGAAAATTATAGACTCAACCAATAAATAAACTAAACATTTTCTTGGTTTGTGAATCGAAAAAGTAGTTTCCAACGATTCCATGTTCTTCTTCGTACATGCCAGTAGCTATGCTCATGTGGTTCGGAGCTGTGTATGTTACATATTGAGATTTGACTCCAGAAGTGAACCACGTGGACATTGTTGCCCATTTGTAAATGTTCGGAACCTGAAAATATTATAATGTACTCCGAATAAAAATAGAGATACCTAACTTACCAGTCCTTCCTTTAACAAATCATATCGAAATCCATCGAATGAAATAAGCAGCAGCTTCGGATGCCTCGAAAGAGGTGTAACTGCTGTGAGCAGAAACAGCGAACATAACAGCCAAGCTATGTGCATTTTCTAAGCATCCGAAGGCCTAAAACCTGAAAACATCGAAAGTTAGGCCAAGCAGAAACAGGATAAACTGATAATTCAAAGGAAAACAATTTTTTGAAACAAAAAGAGCTTTACAAACAAGTCGAGTGAGTAGGGTTTTGCCGAAAAAAAAGAAACGAGTGGCAAAAATAAATACTCCTTTTGACCGAGAGGAGTACACGGCGCATGACCGAGTTTGTTAATTCAGCCAGGTGAAATAAAAAACGCGGTCTTTCAAACTTTGTTTTGTTGGTAAAATGTGCAGGAGGTATATTTTAACGGTTTTACTGTAGATGTATGATGATTTTTGACAAAATCTTTGAGAACATTAGACATTAAATTATTTTAGAGTTAGTTTTCGATTTCTTTGAAAACAAAAAGAGCTCTAGATGAAGATATCATGTCTAATATTATTATCAGTTATATTATTCTTATCAGTAAACCTAAAAATCGATTGTCGCAATAAACAAAACAATTTTTGAATTGAATATGTATTTAAATTTGATTCTTATTTCTCTAATCTCAACTATCATCCAGTCTTCAACCTCTGAAATAATATCTACTTCATATGGAAAACTGAAAGGAAAGCAGATTGGGGAATACCATTTATTTAAACATGTTCCATTTGCAAAACCTCCAGTTGGAACGTTGAGATTTCAAAAAGCAGAAACTCCTGAAAAATGGGAAGGTGTTAGAGATGCAAGAGGTGATTTATTTATTTTTTGAAGGACAGTTTTCCAATAATAAATTTGCTAGAATACGGACCAGCATGCATGTCAAATTCAACGATATCCAAAAGTCCTCAAAAATGGGTTGACGAAGATTGTCTTCATGTGAATATATTCACTTCAAACAAGTGTTTGGTAGGTTATATTCCAGTTCAGATTGCCGTAAAACCTGTAATAAAAGTACCTCCTAATTTTATATCGGTTCCTGTTAAAAACATACAAGAGTTGTCAACTGATAAATTGCCCATCATAATATCAAAAGCGTTTTGTTAGTTTAAACTGTTTTGATACATTGCATAGGAATTGATATAAATGAGCTCCAGCTTGACAGCGTGGGGCCCTTCTATTAGGTTGTTCCGAAAGTCTTTTACATTTTTAAGCGCGCATTCTGTCCATTCTTGTTGATCGATTTTTGTTTTCTTTTTCCTGTTTTAGCAATATCACTTGGGTTCAAGCGAGGGGCTAGAAAGCGCGCCCCAGCAAACTCGTAGGCCAGAAGAAATTTAATAATTTTAAAGTGGACGCGAGTTTGATCTAGATCATGATCTATTTCTTCAAAATCAACTGGTTGCAA